TCTTACTTCCTGATGATGTGTGATCTGTGGTTTCTAGTAAGGAGGTCTTCTCCTCCCTTCTCTGTCTCTCTGTCTCTCTCTGTCTCTGTCTCTCTCTCACTCTCTCTCTCTCTCTGTGCAGGTCTTGGGGCTTGAATTCAGTGCCTGGGTACTGTCCCTGAGCTTCTTCAAGGCTAGTGCGCTCCTTGTCTCTGTCTTGCTGCCCACTATGGTGCAAAAAGTCCAGGTAGACTGGACTTTTCATCCAACTATCTCCAAATGCTAGAAATCACAAACAAGATACTTCTCACTCCTTTCCATGCTGTCACTCTTACCATCCAGGTCCATGATCTGGTCATAAACTGAAACCCAGAGTTAAGTATTTTGGTATGAAATGCATAATTTATATGTGTATTAGTTTTTCTTACAAGCCATTTTCAAAGAAAATAGGCCTCGCTTAGATTTTTGCTACATGTAGAAAATGTCTAGAGTTTCCAGCTAGAAATGTAGCCACAAGGGCAGTTTCTTTTTTTTTTTTTTTTTTTTATTCTTTTGTCGGTAGTGGGGCCTGAACTGGGCCTGGGTGCTATCCCTGTACTCTTTAGCTCAAGGCTAGCCACAGCACCACTTGCTGCTTTTTCTGCTTATGTGGTACTGAGGAATTGAACCTAGGGTCTCATGCATGCAAGGAAAACACTCTACCACTGAGCCACCTTCCCAGCCCCACAAGGGCAATTTCTTTATTTTACTTTATAGCAGTCTCCCTTGCTGGAGGAGTCCTGGATGCCATAGCGAGGCAGTAGAGCTGCCTCATCTGCGTCTTTGGACACCTTGGTGCATCTGTTTCTGAGAGCAGTAGCCTACCAGTCCATTATTTTGGCCATATACACTGCTGAGGGGGAAAAGTTGGGAAGTTCAAGAACTTAAAAACTTTTCAGCTCCATGTAGTCAGGAACATGATGCTGAAATTGACACCTGATTCTTAAGTAAATGGCTGGCTGTGAGTGTGATTCCTACCATCACCCTGGGTTGGGTGGGAGGATTGGTGCTGCTATTTCCCATGCTGTGCAACTGGTTCTCCTACCAGTTTCCAGACTGAACGCTGCTGTGCACTCTCCTCACAGATTGGGGCTGCAGGCTGAGAATGGATTCCATTAACCCTGTCCCATGCCTACCCCAGGCAACATGGGTCTCAGGGCCTGGGGATGGAAACTGGCCTGTAGTATTAGGTCAGTGGCTCAAGGAATCCCAAAAAACTACAAGGTGTGTAGTTTTCTCTCTTTGCTTCATGTGCTGGCATGATTTAAGTTGCATGAAAAATGGAATTTACTGAGAGTACGATGGTATCTTTTACTGGGAGTCTTGCTGAACCTGTTTGCTTTTATCCTGCTTTTCTCTGGGTGTGGTACAGTTTGGAGACAGCTAAGTGTCTATGTTCTTTCTGTTTTGCTGACCTTGGTGACATTTTCTGACACAAAAATTAAGACATGGGATAACTGACTTCTAACATTGGGTTTTCCTGTTTATTAATTAAACTAAAGGTTTATGATTGATTTTTATAACGAGGTCCTATTTTTTTTTTTTTTTTTTTGTCGGTCATGGGGCTTGAACTCTGGGCTTGGGCGCTGTCCCTCAGATCTTCAGCTCAAGGTGAGCACTCCTACTGCTTGAGCCACAGTGCCACTTCCGATTTTCTGGTGGTTTATTGGAGATAAGAGTCTCATGGACTTTCCTTGCCCAGGCTGGCTTTGAACCTCAATCCTCAGATCTCAGCCTCCTCAGTAGCTAGGATTACAAGAGTGAGCCACTGGTGCCCGGCTAACGTCCTATTTTTTAATGAGTTTCTTTTTTCTTTCTTTTTTTTTTTTTTTTTTTTTTGGTCGGTCGTAGGGGCTTGAACTCTGGGGCCTGGGCACTGTCCTTCAGGTCTTCAGCTCAAGGCGAGCGCTCTACCACTTGAGCCACAGTGCCACTTCCGGTTTTCGAGTGGTTTATTGGAGATAAGAGTCTCACAGACTTTCCTGCCCACGCTGGCTGGCTTTGAACCGAGATCCTCAGATCTCAGCCTCCTGAGTAGCTAGGATTACAGGCGTGAGCCACCGGTGCCTGGCAGAGAGTTTCTTTTATTTGGAAACAACCAGTGTTGATAAACCAGGGACTTCCTGAAACCTTGTAAAGCCACTTACATGGGTCAGGATCCTGCCCAACTGTTAGTGCTACTGCCATTGTCACATTCCCTATGACTTAATCTGTGGACACAGATTAATTAATTTTGGAAGCTGGTATTCAGTACTTGACCTTCAACTCCATTTGATAGAATTGGGGCTCAGCTCTAGGTTGTAGGTTTTAAACAGACCAACTGCTGGCTCCCATAGGAGACCCTAGTGGACCTAGGGCATCTCTGGTCCTGGCCCAGATGCTGAGCCCTGCTGTCCTTCCCTGAGCAGTTTCCCTTCCCCCTGTCTTCTTCCTCATCCTGGGAAGTGGCTGGATCCCAGACCATTTGGGGTGGGCCCAGTCTGAATGCCTGGAATAAGGACCTGGAGTTGTGGTGAGAGAAGACCTTTTTCCAAGTAACCTTGTGGCTGGATTGACATCCCATTATGTAAACATTCTGAGCAGTGCTTACCGGGGGTCCAAATGCAAGCTTTCTGTCATTTGCTGTAATGATCTAATGAAGCAATCTTACTCTTGGCACTGGACCTGTGAAGGATTATGGAACCTGAGTATGACATGGGCACTGAGGCCTGCTCTGATCTTTACCAAGGTTTGGATCTGGACACTTCCCAAGTCCCAGCATTTGATTAAGACTTAGCTTGGCCTGTAGAATGGAACTTGGAACTTATTTCTGACAGCAGGGATGGTGCCAGCAAGACCCAGGTAAAGAGCATGGGGCTTCACATGCCTCTGATCACAGTTCATCCAGCATAAACCTGGAACAGTGTGGGTAAAAAGGAGACATAATCACTTATCAGATGAGAGCTAAGGCTTTTTCAGAAATGGATAAAGTGGTATGGATCAGAAAGTAATTTTTTTTTCTTTTGTGCAAGTACTGGGACTTCAACTAAGAGTCTTGTGCTCTAACTTGGCCTTTTTGCTCAAGTCTAGCACTCTACTACTAAAGTCACACCTCTATTTCTGCTTTCTGCTGGCTAATTGGAGATGAGTCTTATGGACTTTGCTCTCCAGGCTGACTTTGAACCATAATCCTCAGATCTCAGTCTCCTGAATAGCTAGGACTATAGGTGTGAGCCACGGATTAAGTTTTTTGATTAAGTGTAGTTTAGTTGAAGTGACAGTTAAAGTTCAAGCAGAATCCTTCTTCACTGGGGGAGTTTAGTTTAGAACAGCCACCTGATCATGATATGGATGTGTGCTGGTAGTCCTCTCAGTATTCCTGGTTTCTTTTTTTTTTTTTTTTTTTTTGTGAATTGTGGGGCTTGAACTCTGGGTCTGGGCACTGTCCCTCAGCTCTTCAGCTCAAGGCTAGCACTCTACCACTTGAGCCACTGCACCACTTCCGGTTTTCTGGTGGTTTATTGGAGATAAGTGTCTCATGGACATTCTTGCCCGGGCTGGCTTTGAACCATGATCCTCAGATCTCAGCCTCCTGAGTAGCTAGGATGACAGGCGTGAGCTACGGATGCCCCGAAATACTCATGGTTTCTTAACATCTGTATAGTTACTGTCATCTTGGGAAAGGTAGAACAAGGTTTGTGTGTGTGTGTGTGGCACGCGAGCGCGTGCATGCATGTGCACGGGGGTGGGGGGGGGGAGGGAGGGAGGGTAGGGTGGGGAGAGGGCTTGAACTCAGGGCCTGGGCACTATCCCTGAGCCTCTTTTGCTCAAGGCTAGCACTCTACCATTTGAGCCACGGCACCACTTCTGGCTTTTCTGTTTACGTGGTACTGAGGAATCAAACCCAAGGCTTCATGCATGTTAGGCAAGCACTCTCCCACTAAGTCATATTCCCAGCCCCAATGTTTTTAATATGTATGTTGTGAGGTGGGGGACATAAGTAGTGGGGTGAAAGCTTTGCACAGTTACTGTTTCATTTCTAGCATCTTCTGCACACACAGCACCACAGTCATAAAGGTGGGCTGTGTGGACCTTTCACAGGCTCTGTCTTTTTAAGTGGCCTCAGACATTTCTTTCCCAATGAGAGAATACTAGCCCACCATCAGCCACTTTTACCTCCATATCTCTCTTAGCTGGTGCCTTGAGCAGACACTTGTGTAAGTGGCAAAGAGCAGGGGAGGCTGGGAAAGTAAAGAATTAAGAACAGTTGTGGACAATAGGGAGGTGTTTCCTGTGGATTCACAACATACTGTTGCACAAATGGGGGCCTTCTCATTTCATGTAGCCAGCTGTGGCTCACTAGAGAATGCTGATTTAGAAAATGTCAATGGTAGGTTAGGATGCTTACCAACCTCTTGGCCAGAACAGCTCTGTACTCTATTGCATTTCCATAAGATGTTTGTGAGGCCTGTGGTCATATATTTGTGGCCATTCTGATACCATCCAGGGGCTTCTCCACCCAGAAACATCCATCTCCAGTGTCCTCTTGAAAAAGTATAAGAATTGGTGTAATTTCCTTTTTCCTGTTCTTAAAACAAAAACAGAAACAAAACTTAGTTGTTTTGCAAATATTCAGGGCAGGAAAATAATAAATGGCACAATGTAAGTTCCCCAGAACAGATTTCCCAAGAAGAATCAGGTAAGTGCTGGCAAATTCAACTGCCTGTGACACTGGCCAGGTCATTGGGTCCTAAGCTGACTAACACTGTCTGCTTGTTCTCAGGGGTATTGTGGCTTGCCATCAGCCATGTCAGTGCAGAGAAGAAAAAATAAACAAGTGCTAACCTGCTGAACAATGTAGCATGCAGGCCCTGGACACACACGTGCTATGGCTGGGCTTAGAGCTGAGGTCCACAGAGGGAGAGGGATTTGCATGCAACAGTCAGGGCATATTGCTGAGTTCTCCTCCTGTATCACTAACTGATTTGGTTTTGTTCTTCCAGGAGGAATCTGATGAGGGGGCGGGTCATGGACTGGGTCACCTGTCCATTCATGCTGCCCGTGATGTTTAGCTGCATGGGCATCTTCGGCCTCCTCAAGCTTCTGCAGTGGATTCGCATGAAGGCCTACGTGCGGAACTCTGTGGTGGTGATTACAGGCGCTACCTCCGGGCTGGGGAAAGGTAGGTTGTAAGGGATGCCCTGCACGGGGCGGTGGGGGGGGGGGGTGGGGGTGGACAGCTAGTTAGGCATGAGGAGATACTGGTGGTACAGGGACTATAAAACATTCAAAAGGAGATGCCACTGTTCTTGATCCAGTTGGAAAAGCCCTTATGAAATAGTCAGTCCTCAGTGTCAGTTCCATGTTGAAAGAAGAATGAGGGGCTGGGAAGGTGGCTCAGTGGTTGAGTGCTTGCCTTGCATGCCTAAGGCCTTGGGTTTAATTCTTCAGCACCATATAAGCAGAAAAAGCCAGAAGTGGCATTGTGGCTCAAGTGGTAGAGCACTAGCCTTGAGCTGAAGAGCTGAGGGATAGCGCCCAGGCCCAGAGTTCAGGCTCCACAACTGACCAAAAAAAAAAAAAGAAGAAGAAGAATGAGATATGAAAGCTCTTAGTTTTCAGATATGGACAACTAGTTTAACATGTTTTTAACCTCTTTGAGGACCAAATGAGGGATGCTTTTCTCTGGATTAAGCAGTACCCCTACCCCCTTCCTGAGGCCTCGGCACATGGCCTGGATGCTTGCTGTCCCCATGCCTACCCCTCCTAGGGCTTGACAGGGGATAGGATTATTGGGGTCTCAGCTGCTCTTTAACCAGTCTTTAATTCTGTTCCCCCTCAGTGACACTTTGAGCTTTGAAGCCCAGGATGGTGTGCCAGGGATACAGTGGCATCCATCAAGTTCTGACTCCCTTTTTTTCCTAGACGCTTACACAAATAAGTTGCATTGGCTGGCAGTCTAAATGCAGGACTAATGCAGACACATGGTATGGAGCCCCTATCCTGTTTCCATCAGGCTACACCCACCACACTGCTGCGCACTTTCAGGAAGAGGAGGACAAGCTCCCAGAACCTAACTTCCTGCTTCTACGTATTGGTTGGTGGAAGCATGGCTAGCACCCCACTCTAAGCATCTGCTCAGAGTGAGGCTCTGGGCCAAGTGCTAACCCCACAGAAGACACTTCGACAGGTCCCTTTCCTTGGTGAGGTTACAGTCTCCTGGCAGAAGGCCAGGCCTATCTCTATATAAGGCCACTTCAGTTGTGGATGTTCTCAACCAGGCCAGATAAAAGAGGCATCTCCCCCATATATGTGTTTATTTATATATGCCTTTGCATCGATGTTAGACATGCTTTTTGTGCTGATCATTTCTGGTATGTGAGCTCATTGCATCTCACAGCTGTAAGGCCTAGGCATGAATTGCCTAGGACTTCAGCAAAAAGCACAAAGCTAAGTGTCAAACCTGTGTTCTCTGAACCCAGAACTCAATCTTTTTTTGTGTGTATGTCAGTACTGGTGTTTGAACTCAGGGCCTGGGCACTGTCCCTTAGTTATTTTTTTTTTTTTTTGGTCCGGTCGTGGGGCTTGAACTCTGGGCCTGGGCGCTGTCCTTCAACTCTTCAGCTCAAGGCTAGAGCTCTACCACTTGAGCCACAGCATCACTTCCGGCTTTTTTTCTTTTTTGCTTATGTGGTGCTGAGGAATCAAACCCATGGCCTCATGCATGCAAGGCAGGCGCTCTACCACTGAGCCACCTTCCCAGCCCCTGTCCCTTAGTTTTTTTTGCTCAAGGCTAGAGCTCTACCACTTGAACCACAGCTCCACTTCCCCAGAACTCAGTTTTATGACCTTATCTGAGGGGGAAATTGTCCTGAAGTGGTGTGGGACGTAGGGACAGCATTCTAGATGGGTGTAGATGTAGATCTTTGGAACACAAAGGAGCAGACAGGGCCATCTCTAGGGTAAGAGGCCTGAAGTCAGCCAGGGAAGGCTTTAGAGTGTGGAGTCATTTGTACAGCTAATGTCATGGCTGTTGCTTGAGGTCTCTGATGGTGAACTTAGTGTCTGCCATTGGATATCCAGATCCTTGCAGCAGCAGCTGCCTCTCTAGGCCTTTTGCCATCACTCAGTCCTCTGACCTTACCCAGCTGCTATAATTAGAATGGTCAGGAGCCGCTTCTCTTAATCTCAGAGCTCTCTCTGAGGTTTTGGTTTTTTTTTTTTTTTTGGGTCCGGTCGTGGGGCCTGGGCGCTGTCCCTCAGCTCTTCAGCTCAAGGCTAGCACTCTACCACTTGAGCCACAGCACCACTTCCAGCTTTTTTCTTTTTGCTTATGTGGTGCTGAGGAATAGAACCCAGGGCCTCATGCATGCAAGGCAAGCGCTTTACCACTGAGCCACCTTCCCAGCCCAAGAAGCAGTTTTTTAAAGTCCTTGAAGAGCATTTGGGAGTTGGCTGGTGGGGTGGCAGGTACACTGCTGGTGCGTGTGGGATATGTGGATGTCTCAGAAGGACACTGTCCTTTGTCATTATTCTGCATCTCCTCTCCTGACACCTAGACTGAGTCAATAGGAAGTGTCTGGAGGGAACCATGCCTATGTGTGTACTGTATGTTGGCAGGTCATTTCAGGTCCCAGTCACCCTGCTTGTATGCTGTCCCATTTACCTACCTAGGGACAGGAGTCTCTCCTTCCAGATAAAGCAGGAACAGTTGTAACCTGCAACATCCTCAGTTGTCATTGCCAAAGAAATGCTGCTGTCTCTAGCTTTCTGGGGAAGAAGTGCTACATTGTCTTTAGTGGCCTGCCATGGCCAGCCACCCTGCTCAGAGGTTACGTGAGAGTCTTCAAACAGCTTTCTGTATTCTGTTGTCCTCTACTTTGACCTTGAAGAACAGTAGTTTCATTGACTAAACAGAATGTTCTGGATGCCTACTTCAGCCTGAAGCAAGGCTGAACACAGCTGTTTTGATTGACAGCCCAGGTGTGCTGGCAGTGCTGGGGCCCTGTCTGCAGCTCTGACACAGCCTTTTCAATTTGACCCTCCTCTCTCCCTGTGTCAGCTCCTGAGAGGTGAAGACAGAACGCCTTGTAACTTGTTTTCAGTTCTGTTACTCCCTTATACAAACTTTAATTTCCTCCTTTTGGCTTTGCTAAGAAGCAGAGCTTAACCTTTTGTACAGAAGCTGTTTGTATAACAGTATAACCCTCACCTTTGATCCTGTGTGTCTATCATGTCCACCACAAAATTTCCTGTATGTTAGTAAGGGTAGGCCAGGAAAGAATAGGGTGAAGAAACCAGGAAGGTTTGGGGATCATCTTTGGGGATGATTCAGTAAACCAGAGAAGTAATTCTAGCCTCAGGAATGCTGGCAACTGGTTTGGTGTACAGAGGTAGGCCTGCCCATCCTACCTACACAGTGGTGACCTTTGCCACCCTTCTATCAGAGCCAGGCAGAAGCAATGGCTTCAGCTTTCTTGGTGTGTCTGTCCTTCATTAGAATGAGCCAACCAAACCTTCAAAGGTGTTGGGCATTTTATTTTTTTTGGTCCAGTCATGGGGCCTGACCTCTGGGCCTGGGCGCTGTCCCTCAGCTCTTCAGCTCAAGGTGAGTGCTCTACCACTTGAGCTACAGCGCCACTTCCGGTTTTCTGGTGGTTTATTGGAGATAGGAGTCTCATGGTCTCTCCTGCCCGGGCTGGCTTTGAACCGCGATCCTCAGATCTCAGCCTCCTGAGTAGCTAGGATTACAGGCGTGAGCCACCAGCGCCCGGCTGGTGTTGGGCATTTTAACGCAATAGTGGCTAGTGCCTGTAATCCTATCTTCTGGGGAGGCTGGGAAGGAAGAAGCAAGATGTAGGATTCTCCACATCCCCTCTGCCTTCTGTCCTCCCTTCCACTTTGCTGCCTGAACCCCACCTCCATCTACCTTCTGTCCCAGTATCGCCTGCTTTAGCTCTGGAGAACTTTGTTCAAAGGTCCCTTTGCCTCCAGCACTTTGTGGGAGCCAGCCCCTTGAGCCCCAGAACTTGTGGGAGAGCTCTGATGCCCTCTCACACAGAGTCCACTATCCTGATTTTCTGCAGGACGGCACCAGTCCCCTGTAGTTCTGTGCTGATTGCACTTGTACAGCCTGAGGAACAGGTCAGGTAGTGTTGGATACAGCCTCTGGGGCCATAGTATCACAACACTTGGCTCCACCTGACTCTCCCAATTGGGGCTGGCTGAGCCTCAGGAACCTTACTTAACCTTGCTGGGCCTCCTAGTCATGAATGTGGGGGTGATGCTGAAAGGATTATTAAATAAGAGAACCATAGAAAGTTGTGACACTAGTACTTCACAGATCTGTCCACCTCTGTCATCTTCCTCTTTGCTGGGCAGATGTATGTCACATATCTAGACAGGGGCTTGCTACAGTGGGCCCTGACACCCAGATCCAGCCTTAGAGTCACACCTTGTAATATTGGGTAAACTGGAACTGAACTGCTTGAGGTAGTATAGTGTTGGTATCTTCAATATCAAGGTTCTTTTCTCTTCCCTTAGAATGTGCAAAAGTCTTCTATGCTGCGGGGGCGAAGCTGGTGCTCTGTGGCCGGAACATAAGGGCCCTGGATGACCTCACCAAAGAGCTTGCTTCTTCTGCCTCTCAGGTAAGTCCAAGGCAGGTTTTCTGTGAGAAAGGAAGGGTCATTGCTGCCTGTCAGTCATGGGCAGCTGAAGAGACAGTGGCCTATAACTGGGCTGCTGAACAGGACATCCACATGGTTATACCATGCCAGGGAAGGATGCAAGGCTCCAAGTGAAGTGAGCCACAGGCAAGCAGAAGGAAGAACCATCCTGTGGCTTAGCTATCCCCAGACCACCACTGGCAACTAGGCTGTGTTAAGGGAAGTCTGCTCAGGGAATGGACTCCCCTTCCTTTCTAATTGCTACTCACCTGGTTGACCAGGAGCGGGCAGTGGATGATGACTGTAAGGTTTTTGTCTTTGTTTTGCCAGTCCTGAGGCTTGAACTTTGGGCTTGGGCACTGTCCTGAGCTCCTTTTGCTTAAGGCTAGCATTCCGAGTCACAATGTCAATTCCAGTTTTTCTGTGATTTAATTGGAGATAAAAGTCTTAATAGCTGTGCGCCAGTGGCTCATGACTGTAATCCTAGCTACTCAGGAGGCTGAGATCTGAAGATCTCAGTTCAAAGCCAGCCCAGGCAGGAAAGTCCATGAGATTCTTTTTTTTTTTTTTTTTTTTTTGGTCGGTCGTGGGGCTTGAACTCTGGGCCTGGGCGCTGTCCCTCAGCTCTTCAGCTCAAGGCGAGCGCTCTACCACTTGAGCAACAGTGCCACTTCCGGTTTTCTGGTTGTTTATTGGAGATAGGAGTCTCACGGTCTCTCCTGCCCGGGCTGGCTTTGAACCGCAATCCTCAGATCTCAGCCTCCTGAGTAGCTAGGATTACAGGCATGAGCCACCACGCCCGGCTATCTCCATGAGATTCTTATCTCCAGTAAACCACCAGAAAGCTGGAAGTGGTACTGTGGCTCAAGTGCTAGAGTATTAGCCTTGAGCTGAAGAGCTGAGGGTCAGTTCCCAGGCTAAGAGTTCAAGCCCCACGACTGACACCCCCCCCCCCAAAAAAAAAGAACAAAACAAAACTCAAAGACTTTCCTGCCCAGACTAGCTTTGAACTTCGATCCTCAGATCTCAGCCTCTTGAGTAGCTAGGATTATAGGCATGAACCACTGGTGCTCAGTTGACTGTAAGATTTTTAATGGTTTTAAAATGATAGGAGCTGGGAAGGTGGCTCAGTGGTAGAGTGCTTGCCTTGCATGCATGATGCCCTGGGTTTGATTCCTCAGCACCACATAAGCAGAAAAAGCCGGAAGTGGTGCTGTGGCTGAAGAGGTAGAGAGCTAGCCTTGATCTGAAGAGCTGAGGGACAGTACCCAGGCCCAGAGTTCAGGCCCATGACCGATAAATAAATAAATGTGCATAATATTGATTGTTTTAACTATCTGTAAGTTTATAGCTCAGTGGTATTAATTGTATTTACAATGTAACTTTTACCACTGAGATGGGGATCTTGCTCTATAGTCCAGGCTAGTTTGAAATTCATCCTTCTCCTTCCTCAGTCTCCTGAAGGAAGAACCATCCTATGACTGCAGGCACACACCACCATGCCCAGCCCTAAAACTTAAAATGTTCCCAATAAAAGCTCTGTATTCATTAAACATCCCTCCCTTCCCTTAACCCCTAGAATCTTGTCTTCGGCTTTCTGTCTCTGAAGTTTGCCTGCCCTAGGGACCTCATATAAGGGAGATCATTACGGTATTTGCTCCCCTGGGCCTTATTTTATTTAGTGTTATGTCCTCAAGGCTTATCCAGGTTGACTACATACTGGCATTTCCTTCCTTTTAGAGGCTGGACAGGTTCTAGTGTGGGTGACTGCATTCTATCATTTATCTGTCACAGACATTGGGTTTGTTCCCTCCTTTTGGTGATTGTGAGGAATAATATGCAAGTCTGCTAGAGACCCTGCTTTTGATGCTTTTGGATGTGTAGCTGGGAGTGGCATTCCTAGATGATATAGTAGTTCAAATTAACCTTTTGAGAAGCTGCCAGACTGCTTTCTATAGCAGCTACCAGCAGTGCACAGGGCCCCACTTTCTCTACCGTTGATACTGGTTGTTTTTTCTTTCTTATCCAGGGAGGCAGGAAGTGAATCTTTTTTTGATTTTGAGCTTTTTTGGGAGAGGGGACGGAGGAGAAGGTCAGTCCTGGGCTTAAACTCAAGGGCTGGGCACTGTTCTTGAGCTAGCTAGCTAGCTAGCTTGTCTGCTTGCCTGCTTGCTTGCTTGCTTGCTTTCCTTCTTTTTTTCATGTTGGTCATGGGGCCTGAACTCTGGGCCTGGGCGCTGTCCCTCAGCTCTTCAGACCAAGACTAGCACTCTACCACTTGAGCCACAGCCCCACTTCCAGCTTTTTCTTCTTATGTGGTACTGAGGAATTGAACCCAGGGCCTCATTCATGCAAGGCAAGTACTTTACCACTGAGCCACTTTCCTAGCCCGTCTGTGAGCTTTTTTGCTCAAATCTTTTGCTCTGCCACTTGAGCCACAGCTAGACTTCTGGGTTTTTGTTGTTGTTGTTGTTGTTTCTTTCTTTTTTCTTTTTCTTTTCTTTTCTTTTTTTTGGTGTTGGTCCGGACTTGAACTCAGGATCTCACGATCTCCCATGGCTTTTTCTCTTTGTCTGAGAATGAGACTTGAACTCGGTATCTGGTGCTTTTGTTCATTGCTTGGTGCTTTACCATTTGAGCCACACCTCTACTTCTGTGGTTTTGGTGGACTTTCCTACCGATGCTGGCTTCAAACCATAATTTCTCAGATCTTACTTAGCCTCCTGAGTAACTGGGATTACAGGCATGAGCCACACAGGCCCAGCTTGTTGGGAGGTTTTTGACTAATGATTCCATATCTTTAGTTGATTTAGGTTTACTGAGATTTTCTTTCTTCTTGAGTCAGTTTGGATAATTTGTATTCCAAAGGATCTGCCCAATTCTCCTAGGAAATCTAATATGTTGATATATTGATTTATTCATAGTACTGTCTTATTTCGATCTTTGTTAGTTCAGCAGTACTTTTCATTGCAGATTGATAGTCGCATAGATTTGTTAAGCCAAATATGGTTTACTATCTTGTGCAAAAGCTCCATTTCCTGTTGATTTATCTGTTATTGAAATAGAGTATTTGGCTGGAGGCATAGCTCAGTTGGTAGAGTGCTAACCAGTGAGTGACAGTATCAGGTACTGAGTTTGAGTCCTGGTCCCAGACCTAAAAAAAATACAAATAAGATAGAGAAATATGAAAAAAAGCAAAAAAGAAAATACGGTGAATTCTTTGTTTCTCCCTCTAGTTCAGTTTTGCTTTATCTATTTTTATGTTTATGATTGTTGTGTTTTCTTTTTATTGTGAAAATACTGGTTGTGTTTTCTTTTTAATGTTTATTATATAATATCCTTTTTTCCTGGGATTTGAATTCAGGGCCTCTCCTTTCTTCAAGAAAGTTTTCCAGAGAATTGTGTGTAAATTTGGATGCTCTCCCCACCCAGTAAAAGCAGGCAAAGGTCCTTGACATCTACTGGAAGCTGCTTCAGTGGCTGAAACAGTGCTACCCCATCCTCATACTGCCACTTCAGTAATAGGAGTAGCAGATTACTCTTATCATTCACCCTGGCCCAGAAACTGCCTTTCCCATAGCTGACTGCTGGGCTGTGGATAGCCACCACAAACCTATGGCTAAAATGAACGGAAGTTAACTGCAGTTTGCCAGACAAGTCACAAGTTTCATTTCTCTCCACTTCATGCTGAATCTCACCAGCCTTTACAGATGCAAAATTTCTCTGTCTTCCCCTGCTAGACTGCTTCAGGGGTCAAGAACCTGCCTTATCCCAGTGCCTAGCATGTAAGGAATATGTAATAATGTCTCCTGAACAAATGAGTAGAAATGATTTAAGCTGGGAAGGATGGCAGCTGTCTATGGCATCACTGTTGAGCACCATTGTCATGGGCAGCAGAGGACAGAGGGGGGGTGGCTTTGGTTAACAGCTCCCTACCATGCATGACATAGCCTGTGGGATTTACAGTCTGCCTGGTGAAGGAAAGAGGGGCATGTGGTCACATCTGGGGTATAGTCACCTTCAATTCAGGAGAAGAGTTGCGCTTCCCCCTCCCCCCGGGCCAGCTGTGAGAACTAGAGCCAGGAAAACCCATGGCTGTATCCCTGGAAGAGGCTGGTAGTGGCTTATATCATTTGTGTCCACCAGGCCAGCCCTAGGACTCTGAAAAGCGAGGACACAGAGCTCAGATCACTGTTGCTCAGATTTACTTGTTGTCTTGTATTTGACCAGGGGCAGACATACAAGCCTTCCACAGTGGCCTTTGACCTCACAGACCCTCCATCCATCGCAGCTGCTGCATCTAAGATCCTGCAGAGCTTTGGCTATGTGGACATCCTTATCAACAATGCTGGGATCAGCTACCGTGGGACCATCGTTGATACCAAAATGGATGTAGACAGGAAGGTCATGGAGACAAACTATTTTGGCCCTATTGCTCTAACAAAAGGTAACTGGCTAGAGTTAAAAAGAGAAGAGCACTGGGGCTAGAAAGGTGGCTCAGTAATAGAGTGCTTGCCTTGCATGCATGAGGCCCTGGGTTTGATTCCTCAGCACCATATAAGCAAAAAGAAAAGGCCAGAAGTGGCGCTGTGGCTCAGCTAGCCTTGAGCTGAAGAGCTGAGGGACAGTGCCCAGGCCCAGAGTTCAGGCCCCACGACCGGACCCAAAAAAAAAAGAGAAGAGCACTCATCCATTGAGTGCTCACTTGGTTTCTTTCGAGTGAGATATCACCTGTCCCCATCCATCAGTTCATCCTGTGGTAGGTGCCATTACAGTTGGAGTGTTTGCTGTTTACTGTTTCCAGGCTGGTATTTGCATTTTATCTGCCTATGCGTTCCTATCAGTAACAGCCTCACTGGCACAGCATGGCCTGCATTTCAACCCTCCATGGTGTCTGTCACAGATTTCAAACTAGGAACTAGGCTTTCTCTGCAACAAAGGGCCTGGGCTGTGGAACTTGGTGGTTAGGCTGTCTGTTGGCTCCCTCTTGCCTTCTCCCCCTTGCATGGCTTTCCATGCTGAGGGGCCATGACTGGTCACCCCAGCAGTATCATGCTCCTTAAGTCCTTGCCCTTTTCCCTCAGCACTCCTGCCCTCCATGATCAAGAGGAAGAAAGGCCACATCGTTGCCATCAGCAGCATCCAGGGCAAATATAGCATTCCTTTCAGATCAGCCTGTGAGTACCTCACAAAATATTGTTGTATTTTCTTGATTATAAAAAGTAGTGTGTGAGGGGCTGGGAAGGTGGCTCAGTGGTAGAGCGCTTGCCTTGCATGCCTGAGGCCCTGAGTTTGATTCCTCAGCACCACATAAGCAAAAAGAAAAAAGCCTGAAGTGGTACTGTGGCTCAAGTAGTAGAGTGCTAGCCTTGAGCTGAAGAGCTGAGGGTCAGTGCCCAGGCCCAGAGTTCAAGCCCCATGACTGGACCAAAAAAAAAAAAAATAGTGTGTGGGGCTGGGAAGGTGGCTCAGTGATAGAGTGCTTGCCTTGCATGCATGAGGCCCTGGGTTCAATTCCTCAGCACAACATAAGCAGAAAAAAGCCGGAAGTGGTGCTGTGCCTCAAGTAGTAGAGCGCTAGCCTTGAGCTGAAGAGCTGAGGGACAGCACCTAGGCCCAGAGTTCAGGTCCCATGACTGACCAAAAAAAAAAAAAAAAAGATTTAAAAAGTAGTTTTGGCCAGATACTGGTTGGTCATAACTGTAATCCTAGATACTCAGAAGACTGAGATCTGAGAATTATGATTTAAAGCTAGCCCAGGCAGGAAAGTCCATGAAACTCTTATTCCAATTAACCAACCAAAAAAATGGTCCTTGAGCTGTGGCTCAAATAGAGAGTGCTATCCTTGAGCAGAAAAGCTCAGGGACAGTTCCCAGGCCCATTCAAGCCCCAGGACCAGCACACACACACAAAAATACAATTTTAGGGCTGGGAAGGTGGCTCAGTGGTAGAGCACTTGCCTTGCATGCTCGAGAACCTGGGTTTGATTCCTCAGCACCACATAAGCAAAAAGCCGGATGTGGCGCTGTGGCTCAAGTGGTAGAGTGCTAGCCTTGAGCTGAAGAGCTGAGGGACAGCGTCCAGGCCCAGAGTTCAGGCTCCACGACCGGACCCAAAAAAAAAAAAAATACAATTTTAGAAGTGGAGCTGTGGCTCAGTGGTAGAGTGCTAGCCTTGAGCAAAGAAGCTCAGGGACAATGCCCAGGCCCCCAGAGTTCAAGCTTCAAGACAGAAAGAGAGAGAGAGAGAGAGAGAACCAGCAAAAAAATCAGACACACAAAAATTAATTTCATGAGCTACTATAGTAAATTTTATCTTTATTTCATATTCTGAAAGGCAGCACCGACATGGGACAGTTGTATTTGCTGTCACTACCTCCAAGGCCTGACAGCATGGGCAGCCACAGCCTTGTCAATGAAGAGGAGCTGAGCTATTTCAGACAATTCCATGATAGTTGTAGCCAGCCATTGAATAAAAGCTTATTCTTACTCCCAGGTCTGACCCCAGCTCTTCTAATTGGTTTTGGTTGTGTCCTGGACTGTCCTTGGACCAGTCACTGAATTTTCCTGACCTGAGGTTTTTAGTGATCATCCATGCTTCCGAGGGTTAGTTCTAAGACAAAAGGAGGCAACTAAAGACCTTTGTAATCAGAAAGAATGCATCCGTGATTGTTTATCCAGTTATTTGTTTGTCAGTATTCTGTTTCAACTTAAGACAGCATAGGGTGCCATTGAAGACTGCTCAAATGGCTCAGGGAAAATAGTCCTGTGTATAATCACAAAAGACAAAGCAACTGAGGTGAACTGTTTACGAAATCAGATATGCAGAGTTCTTTGTACTATTTCCAATGACTAAATCCCACTGGTTTGGTTTGGTTTATCCCTGGCCAAATCCCCCATTGATTTTTATTCTCTCTTTTTTCCTTTTTTTTTTTTTTTTGGCTGGTCATGAGGCCTGAAACTCTGGGCCTGGGCACTGTCCCTCAGCTCTTCAGCTCAAGGCTAGCACTCTACCACTTGAGCCACAGCGCCACTTCCGGCTTTTTCTGCTTATGTGTTGCTGAGCAATCGAACCCAGGGCCTCATGCATACAAGGCAAGCGCTCTACCACTGAGCCACCTTCCCAGCCCCCACCCTCCCTTTTATTTTTTAATTTGTCAGTCATGGGTCTTGAACTCAGTTTGGGTGCTGTCCCTGAGCTCTTTAGCTCAAGGCTAGCACTCTACTACTTGAGCTACAGCGCCACTTCCAGTTTTCTGGTGGTTAATTGGAGATAAGAGTCTCAACAGACTTTCCTGCCCGGGCTGGCTTTGAACCATGATCCTCAGATTTTAGCCTCCTGAGGAGCTAGGATTATAGGCATGAGCCACCAGGGCCCGGCTGATATTTATTCTCTTAATTACTGATTGCAGTAGACATACGTAGATGATCCAGGTGGTGTGTGGTGACCAGAACAAATCTGGCTGAATCTCACCCAGTGAGCGGCAACCTTCTCACCCATTAACTCTGGAGAACAGCCTCATCTCCCTCTGGTGCTGCGTAGGGAGCCTATGTCTGAAGCCTTCTGCCCAGTCCTAGGGTGGGGCTCAGCCCCTGGAATCATGGCAGATAGAAGGTCTCCATCCACTTATCACCAGTTGCTCACTTAACCCAGGACCTCTGCCAGATGTATCCTGACTTGGATGATACTTCTTTTCTTTTTCCTTCCATATTTTCTTGGTTGATGAAGCATTTAGGACTCTCAGTTGGAGAAAACTTGTTTTGTGCAATGGCTGATTTGGTCCCCAAGGACATCACTAGAGAGTCTCCAGTTTCCATGTACCAGCTTGGGGAACTGTTGCTGAGGGCAGAGGTGGCTCTGCACTCTTACTCTATGGCCTTCTGTAATATTTGAGTGTTTTACTCAGTATACATTAAACTGTTGCTTTTGTAATTTTTTTTTTTATTGCTGTTGTTGGTCATGGGGCTTGAACTCTGGGCCTGGGCGCTGTCCCTCAGTTCTTCAACTCAAGGCTAGTGCTCTACCATTTGAGCTACAGCACTACTTCTGGTTTTCTGGTGGTTTATTGAAGATTAGACTTTACTGCTCGGGCTGGCTTTGAACTGTGATCCTTAGATCTCAGCCTCCTGAGTAGCTAGGATTATAGGTGTGAGCCACTGGCACCTGGCAATTTTTTAAAAAAATTTTGGTATTACTAGAGGTTTAAGTGCTTTGCATTTGCTAAGCAGGTGTTTTACCACTTGAGCCATTCCACCAGCCTTTTATTGGCTGGTCCTGGGGCTTTGAACTCAAGGCCTGGGCACTGTCCCTGAGCTTTTGTGCTCAAGGCTAGTTAGTGTTCTACCACTTCTAGCCACACCTCTACGTAAGACTTTTTGGTGGTTAATTCAAGATAAGAGTCTCATGGACATTCCTGCTCAGGCTAGCTTTGAACTGCAGTCCTCACATCTTTTTTTTCTTAAACTTGGAACAATTTTAGACTTAGAAGTTATAATAGGGCTGGGAATATAGCCTAGTTGTAGAGTGCTTGTCTAGCATGCATGAAACCCTGAGTTTGATTCCTCAGTACCACAGAAAAAGCCAGAAGTGGCACTGTGGCTCAAGTGATAGAGTGCTAGCCTTGAGCAAATGAAGCTCAGAGACTGCCCAGGCTCTGAGTTCAAGCCCTAGGACAAGCAAAAAAAAAAAAAAAGAAAGAAAGAAAGAAAGAAACAATTCCCATGTACCATTCATGCAGATTCCTCAGTAGCACATTCACTGTCTATGCATGTTGGTTGTGGGGCTTGAACTCTGGGCCTGGGCACTGTCTTTGAGCTCTTTAGCTCAAGGTGAGCGCTCTGCCACTTGAGCCAAAGTGCCATTTCTAATTTTCTGGTGGCTTATTGGAGATAAGAGTTTCACAGACTTTCCTGCCTGGGCTGGCTTTGCACCATGATCCTCAGGTCTTAGTCTCCTGAGTTGCTAGGATTACAGGTGTGAGCCACCAGCGTCCAGCTCTTTTTTTTTTTTTTACCCCTCTGAGCCATATGAGAGGAAGCTAGAGGCATGATGCTGTTTATCTCCTGACTAGAGTGTTTCCTAAGAACAAGTACACAGGAAAGCTATCAGTCAGGACGTGAACACTGCCATGATGCTGTAGTCTTAACTGCTAAGCCCAGGCTTTGGGCCTTATCATGCCAGAGCTCTCACTGGCTCTGTCCACATCTGCAGATGCAGCCTCCAAGCATGCCACCCAGGCATTCTTTGACTGTCTACGTGCAGAGACGGAGCATGACAAGATCGAGGTGACTGTCATCAGCCCCGGTTACATCCACACCAACCTCTCCTTAAATGCTATCACTGCTGATGGCTCCAAATATGGAGGTAAGGCTGGTTTCTTGCTTTTTTTTTGTCATTTGCGGGGCTTGAACTCTTGACCTGGGTACTGTCCTTGAGCTCTTCAGCTCAAGGTGAGTGCTCTACCACTTGCGCCACAGCACCATTTCCAGTTTTCTGGTGGTTAATTGGAGATCAAGAGTCTCATGGCCTTTCCTGCCCAGGCTGGCTTTGAACGGAGATCCTCAGATCTCAGCCTCCTGATTAGCTAGGATTACAGGTGTGAGTTACTGGCACTTGGCTGCTTTTTTCTTTTTTTAATGAAAAATTATTGGTTAGCCACAGAGACATGCTGCTCTTACCTCAGTTGTTGTTTACTTTTATTTGGAATATAATAGAGATTGGTTGACCAAGAACTGCCCTTACCTAAGCATCTCCACTATAGCTTTTATTCAGAATACTGTCTCTGTAGGCAGAGGACTGCAAGGCAGAGGACTTAAGATCAAATGCTACCCAACACATGTTAGCACATGTTAGCACAATTAGGACTAAGTTAATCTCATGGCAAGAGGGTGGAGTGGCTCATTAGATTGTCTTTATCCAGGGCCAGCCTTAAAAGGTGAGGCTGGGTATGGTGCAGTGCCTCTGAACCTCAATCTGAGGCAGCTCTGAGCTGACCTGCAGTTACCACTGTGGTTTTTGCCTCTCACATCAGCTGGCCAAGTGCTGCTGCTATTAGAGCCAGCTTTGACTTCCTAAGCTTGGTATGGGCCTGATGGTCTATACTGCAGTGACTGTCCAGAGCTGTCAGTCCTGCACCTGCCCAGTCAGGCTCAAACTAAGACTGTCGAGGCCTCGTTGGCAATGTCCCTGCCACAGAATGCTACAGAGGCAGGCCAGACAACTCCATGGCTGTTTATCCCTGGAAGATATTGCTGAAGCAGCTCTCTCTTTCTGGCACATAAGCAGCAATCAGAAACTTTCCATCGTTCTCTGTTAAACACAGTGAGAGGCAAACAGCAGTGAGGGAGCTCAGGTATCAGGACAGCTATGATGGTGTTCTGGGCTGCTGACTGATCCTGCTTTACTGGCAAAATTATTAGATCAATAGCAGAGAAAGCTGCTATCCTCATACTTCCTAACCCTCCCAGCTACCTCCTTCAGCACCTACAGCAAACCACATGTTTTTTCCCTGCCCCTCATTCAACTACAACCTGACATCAGGAGCTGAGACTGTCTATTACTGTTGACTTAGTGCACTGGTGGTCAAATGGTCTCCCTCTGAAGCCCAGCTACAACACATAGTAGATGGTACAGCATCCTCTACTCGTTGGTTCTCCTAGAGGCAAACATTTCCAAAGCCAGGAAGCTCCACAGAAATAGTATTAAGGGCTCACTCTTTGAGGGCCACCCACCTCTGCTAGCCTTCTGCTTTTGCCACAAACCACTAAACACCAACTGGGTCCCTACTCTGTCCTGTCCTCACATCCTGTCCACATCTCCACTCAGAATGGCAAAATAGTTCTGCATTTCCTCAAAGCATAAAAACCACTTGGGATGGGGCATGCTGCCTGTAAAACACCCAAACTCTGGAAGAGCTCTTGGTGGGACTGCAGCAAGCTGGCCTAGGGGTCATGTCATGTCAGCTCAAGTCCTCCAAGGGGATCTTTGTCTCCCAAGTTCACATGTCCCTTTTCTTTTGTTTACTGTAGTTATGGACAAAACCACAACCCAGGGCCAATGCCCTACAATGGTGGCCCGGAATGTTCTTGTTGCTGTGGGCAAGAAGAGGAAAGATGTGATACTGGCTGACTTACTGCCATCCTGGGCCATTTATCTTCGAACTCTGGTTCCTGAGCTCTTTTTCAGAATCATGGCCTCCAGAGCCAAAAAAGAGCAGAAAACTAAGACTTCCTGATGCTGGTCAGAGCCGACAGCTCCAGCCAGCCTGGCCAGGCCAAGCAGCACACCTCTGTGGGTGTGCTTGCTCCACAAGAATAGCATATTAGTGGAGGTCTGTCTCCCAGGTGGGAAGAGACACGTCTGCAGGACTCAGGCCTGCTGCAGAGAACTAGAAGCAAGAACCAGCAAGCTTCTTCCCGGGGTGAGTGGCAAACAAAGAATAAACATGGAGCTGTGCTTTAACACTAAAATACGAAATAAATGACTAGAATGTAAGAGTCAGTCCTCAAGGACTGTGTCCTTTGCATTCATGCCCCACCTGCACCTAGAAATGGGGTTTCAGGCTTGGCATCAGATGTGCTAGCAATGGACCCATTTTCTCATGTCTAACTTACCCAAGACCACCTTTTGTGCTCAGGGGAGACGGCCTTAGGCTTAGGAAATTATTATTCATGTTTCCAGGTTCTGTGATTACCCATTCACTGTGCAAAACTGGTAAATGCATAATGGAAGATTCTCCATCTCCTAATGAAGCTGGCCTTAGTACCAGGAGGAGTTCCCCATGTTTGTTTTGTTTTGGTCAGTCCTGAGCTGCTTTTACTCAAGGCTAGCATGCTACCACTTGAGCCACAGCACCACTTCTAGCTTTTTCTGCCTGTATGGTACTAAGGAATCAAACCCAGGGCTTCATGCATGCTAAGCAAGCACTCTACCAAGCTACCTTCCCAGCCCTGAAGACGAATTTATAGAGACAGTAGAGTCCCTGCCTGGATCTGTGCTTCCCCTAGAAAGTGAAGTCCACAGAAACTGGCCAAGCAGGCAGAGGTTCTGAGGTAGCACCTGGCTTCTTGGGGGGGGTGGGGGGGTAGGAGTGGGGCTGTGGAGAGATTCTGTAGTGGTTTTTTAGTTGGGGCAGAGATAGAACATGTTCCTTTTTCTTTTTTTGTGCCAGTCCTGGGGCTTAAATTCAGGACCTCCGAGCTCTCTCCTTTAGCTGTTTTTTGTTTTGGGTTGGTCGTGGGGCTTGAACTCTGGACTTGGGTGCTGTCCCTGCACTTTCCATCTCAAGGCGAGTGCTCTACCGCTTGAGCCACAGTGCCACTTCTGGTTTTCTAGTGGTTTGTTGAAGATAAGTCTCACGGACTTTCCTGCCTAGGCTGGCTTTGAACTGAGATCAGCCTCCTGAGCCACTGGTGCCCAGCTTCCCTTAGCCATTTTGCTCATGGCTAGCACTCTATAACTTGAGCCATAGTTTCAGTGGTTTTTTACTATTTAATTGGAGATAAGACTCCTAAATTTTCCTGCCCATGCTGGCACCAAATCTCAATCTTCCAGCTCTCAGCCTCCTGAGTAGATTAAAGTGTAAGCACCCAGCCATAACTTTTTTTGTTTTTTATGGATGTACAAAGGAATCAAATCCAGGGCTCATGCATGGTAGGCAGGCATTCTACCACTACACCATATTCCTAGCCCCTTAGATCTTAAAAGTGTGATTTTTAAAAAATTGGTTCTGCTTTCAGATACCTGATAAATTTTGTTTTCCACTTTGCTCTAGGGTCTGGTTTGTGGGCAGGAGCAAGGCACCTGTTTCCTGACTCAGAGCAACCCCTCAATAGCTTTCAGTGCAGTGTACAGTGCATGGAGAGTGCACACTTCCTAGGCTCACAGCACATGAGCCAGCTGTGAAATCTAAAGCCCAGAGGCAGAGGAGACACAAACGCAAAAGCTCACCAAGCTCAGCCCTTCCCAGTTCCTGTCAGCTGTCCTCTAATGCAGACCTCTTTGCTGCTCTGAAAGTGACTGGGGTAGGAAGTCTTGACCCGTGGGGTTACCTTCCCACAAGATAACCCAGATCATGTGGCCTTTATTTCTTCTCAACTGGAAAAAGCTGTATGAAGCCTTGTGGTCTGTCACCGAAAAGTAGAAGGTACTTACTAGAAACTATGTGGGGGTTGCTGGTTGTGGTGGGAGGTAGGCAGATGCACATTTGCTTCCCCTCCCACAACCTTGCCTCAAGCCATACCTACTGCTGTCCTGTTGTACTTGCCACCTGGCCCTGGCTAGATAACCAAGATAGCATCTAAGAATCTGGGTTAGTCCACACAAGCCTCTTTGTTTAGTGCAGCGTAGGGAATGGTGAACAAGCCGCTATTTGCGCCTGCTTACTATTTTGGATGAGGGCATTTGCCCAGCTGACTGCAGGTCTTTGCCCTGTCAGGCCCCAGCCACCTCCTCCATGAGATCTGATGTACAGAAAGAACAAGGCCAGGCCAGGTGAGACACAGAGCATTTGTTACAAAACCAGTTACCATGCTATATCTGCCCATAGGCTTGAAACCAGTGCTCAAGTACCAGAGGTCATGGGCACTAATTTCAACTCATCCTACACAAAGGAGATGGGGCCTTTTGGGACTACCTGTTGCCAGATCAGTTCATTGTTCCTAATGACCAATATGTCACATAAACAATAGGTACCCAATGTCTTCTTGCCAGCAAGCACTCAACTGAGCAATCAGCATTTCTAGACCCTTGGGATTAAGTTTAAGTTTCTTAAAACTTGCTGGGGTCATGAGCCACATTTTGTGTGTGTGTGTGCCAGTCCTGGGGTTTGAGCACAGGGGTTGGCTGCTGTCTCTGAGCTCTTTTGCTCAAGGCTAGCACTCTACTACTTGAGCCACAATCTTTTTAAAGCTCTGGATCTTCTCTACCAAAAATGCCTTCCTTCCTCTGCATCCCGGGTAAGCACCCCTTCATGACTTCTCATGTCTGTACAGTGGGTGAAAGTTAACTGGTGTGTCTTAAATTCTACCCTTTGGAAGTGCTACACTTCACCAGGCGCTAGTGGCAGCCAGTACCCATGTACACACCCTGCTACATGGCTCTTTGGAACAGCTGGAGATAAAGGGAGCATGCCAGACTACACAATCCACCTTTTGATAAGGGACAAGCACAGGAAGAACTGGGCTTCTGTGGACAAGGCAGCCCCCCAGCCAGGATGCTTCACAGACTGCTGTGAGGGCTCTTCCTGTGGCCTGGGACCAGGGAGTGAATTCTGTCTTCATCAGGAACTTTAGAAAAGGCAGAAATGTTAGCTGTGTCCTTGTAAATCAGACCTTTGGAGGAGGGCTGGACCCAAGGTCTCCAAGTAAACCAAAGGAAGCCAGCCCCTGTGGCATTTCTACCTTATTTACCTTGACTAAACAGCACATCAGCAGTGCTGGCAATGATGAGAGCAAGGCAAGCTGTGAGACTGGCGGGCCTCATTTGAGACCTAGGCCTGTCCTCACCACAAATGCTGACAAAGGATTGCAGCAATAAACAGGTCATGACCCATACATATATAGCAGCAGCTACAGGCATAGGCATAGAAAGAGAACAGCAAGAGTTGAAATTCTCATAATTTTAATGGTCAACAGCTTCTGGTTGGCTCTGAATGGTGCAGTTAAACAATACACTTAAAGACATCCCCCCACCCCCAAGCGCGTTCACACCCATCAGTAGCATTGGCCTCCATCCACACTCCACCACCTAGTCAGACTTCCACAGCCACGGACCCAGTCCTGGGTTACGGAAATCCATACCTTAGTGTAATGAGCTGAAAAAACCCTTGGTATACCCATGATCTGTGTTATTTTTAAAAAATAACAAGTATGAAACCAAACACCTTTCCAGGCTCTGCTGCCTCACAGAGCCCTAAGTGTTGCTGTGGCGATCTGAGTCCTCTCGTCTCTTGTGGGCTGTGTGGTTCTGCTCCGCGTCCTGCTCTCCTGCAGTCATACGGCGTAGAGCTCGTAAACCTTCTTTACACAGTACACCAGGGCGGCCAATGCTATCGTGTTATGCAGTCTCTTTCTGTGCAGGTCGTCCTTCCGGACCAGCACCACTGGGGTGGAGGAGGTGAGCGTGTGCAGAGGCAGGCGGGACAGTTTATAGGCGTCGTACTCCACCTGGTACTTGCAGCACGGGTCAAACTGCCAGGAGATCCCATAGAGGGTGCAACAGGCCAGGCTGAGCACACCGGCAGGCAGGGAGATGTAGTGGGAATAATCCCGGGGCAGTGCCAATGGGGTGAAGAGGCAGGTGGTGCCCGCCAGCACAGCCGTCTTGTGCAGGCAGTTGCCCACGGTGATCCAGCGCGCTGTCTCGTCACCAATGCGGGTGGGCTCTATCACAATGTACTTGTACTGGGCTTCCAGGGCCTGCTCCAGCTCGTACTCAAACTGGTCCTGGGCGTTCTCCCCATTGTAGATCTCGTGCACAATGTAGCAGTCCGTGGCCGACAAGCTTACCCTTTGGTGAAGGGAGAGAGACAAGGAACTTAGGGTGAGAAGCATGAATTGTGTTTGGTAAGGCTTGGGGACAGATGCCAGAGAGCATCTTGTCTGTTTATCTGCTTCAGAACCCAACACACAAGATCACTAAAGATTTTTTATGTGAAGGCAAGAAATAGTGAAACAGACACAGAAGAGCTGTAGTGTTGGAGATGACCAGCTACTGTACATGCACAGGGCATCAGCATGGGCTCAAAGGAAAGCCCTGTCCACAGTGCTACAGACATGGGAGCATAACAGAAGCACAGGCTCAACAGTGTTCCTGTTTCTCCAGATACCTACAAATGGGAGGAGGCTTTTAGTGAGAAGAGACTCCGGGACAACTAATGCTAACCCACCCTGCTCTTTGCCTACCACAGGCCACCCTTGGCCTGCAGAGCAAAAGGTAAAGAAGGAAAGCAGCTAAGGTGAGGAACTCTACAGAGCATAGCTGCTCATCACTGCAACAAGGGCCCTTTTGGGAGACCAGGAGAGGTGGTGGACCCAGCCACTTCAGAGGATACACAGCCCTGAGCAGTAGCTCTCAACTTAGGTGGGGAAAAAGGAAGAACCACCACCTGCCAGACCTCTCCACAAACAACCCAGGACTGTCATCTGGAGAGCTGCTATCACTCACACAAGGGCCCTGTAAACTGTGCATGGAGATCTACCCCAAGGCCAGTCTGATCCCAGCTTCTTCCTGGCACTTAGATGACATGAGCCTGACCAAGTGAAGATAGGGGTATCCAGTGCTGTGCCTTAGCCCCATCAATGATCATAGGCTGAAAGGTGTACTAGGCAATTTGAGGATTCCACTTGAGGCCTCACCAGTGTAGAATTCCCACTAACCCAGAATCTTCTCCACCTGTGTCAGGCAAACCTAAATGCAGAGCTGCACATTCCTTGACATGTGTTAAGACTGTGTTGCTCTGACAAAAGACCTGAGAGAAACAGTTATAGAGTAGG